ACCTATTTAAACTCTCTGCGCCTATGTGAGTTACCTTCTAACCAAGCGAGAATCCAATTGGACCCCTTATTTTCAGAATCATTATACTTTAATACTTTATTTGGGTATTGAAAGTTATGAAACATTAAAATTAGCAACAAAATTATTGATAAAAGATCTTAATGATATTAAAACCGGGTTTATAGATTAACAAAAAAGAAAATAGAATATAAAACTTTATTTAAGTGCTGATTGGAAATTTATGGTGATGTGTTTAAGCTACAAAGTAGCTAATTGTGATACTTTTTGTCTATAGTGTAACTGCAAAAAAATACAATTAGCAATATAAATCCAGAAAATAGCGATTGATATATTTCAAAGAATATAGAAAACATTGCTAATAATTATGCTATGACTTCAGAATATAATAATAAACCACTTTTCTCAATGATTCCAATAAAGAATTGGATAGCTAATAAGTTTCACATTATGCTACATATTACAGATAAATTGTGGGATTTATTAATTGCTAAATTAAAAACAAGTAATAAATTTGATAATAATATATGAAAAAAAATTATGGATGAAATGAAAAATATTGGAGTTAAATTTCATTACTGGCAAGAAAACTTAAACTAGAATTCGATTTCGCTTATAGGTGAAGACAAGCTTATTGTATTGAAAAAGTTTGATCTTGAAACAATTTTTTCAGAAGAAAAAGCTAATTTAATTCGAAATTTATAGAGCAATTTCTATAAATTATATGAAAATCTTAAAAACTCTAATATATCAAGTAATATTTTTAAACAAAAGGCTAAAATATAGTTGCAATTATTTTTAACACCTTCAACTAGACAATATAATATATATACCTTTAAAAAAGAGTTATACCAACTAGCAGACATTACGCTATACATTCACATTTTAGTTTTTCATATATCAGAATTCTTAAATAAACATCACCAATTTGGAATGACAGCATTCTCTTGTTCTGGGGTTGAAAAAAAAACCATCAGCATGTATGCCAGTTTTTTCAAAAAACTTTTAAGAATGATAGATTTAAAGATATTAGAAAACCAGCAATTATAAAAATTATAGATCTTGAACAACGTGTTTTATATTTTTATAGAAATAATATTTTTACTTTTTTTGAAAAAAACAAAAAATTTATGATTAAATAGTTTTAATTCTTATAGAATATATTTTGCTATAAATATTCTAAGATATACTCTAAAAATATTTTATCAATCAATTAAATGTTTAACGCATTAATTAAGCTTTAGAAATCTTTTAGTTATTATATATCAGTTTAAAATTTTCCAAGTAAAAAATTTAATTTATTATGATAGCAATTAATTAAATACTGCATATTCAAAGGTAGATCTTTCTAGTTAAACTTATTGCAATTTATAATATTCTAACTTTATATTATTAATAGTATCTCATAATTATTAACATAGTGGAATCCCTTTATCAATCTTTAATTTATCCCTGTAATATTATTAATTTAGTTAATGAACACATAAATTCTAACAATTTAAGGTTTGTTATATTTAACTATTTTATTTTATTTTTTTTATTTACACCAGTTATATATACTAACTATAAACTTATAAATATATAGTTTGAATGGTATTTTTGTAACTTTAAATTACTAAATTTAACATATTTAAGTGAGTAGCGAATTTTAATACAAATAAGGTATTTATTGATTATCTAAAATTAATAGCATAAGTGATCAGAAGAAATAGAATTGGAGTAAGAATGAAATTAAGGTGTAAAAAATTTGCAGGTGGGAATGATCTGAATAAAATATTTTGGAATTAAATTATGAAGGATATAAGTATATATTTATTTTTCATTATTAAAAATTGGTAGATGTGAATTATTTGAACAGAATAGAAGTGTTGTTAAGAATAATAAAAATAAAGTATTCATTATGGAGAAAATCAGCAGGTGCAAATTATCAAAGCAGAATTGATTTGGATTTAAGGGTAAAAAGTAGCATATTCATTTATTATTAATAATTATCCGGTATGAATGAATGATCCAGATAAAATATTTTAACTTGGCTATTGTTACGAATAAAATTGGATATATTAATAGTAAATATGGCATTATCTTTATTATCAAAATTGGCAGGTATGAACGATCTAGATGAAATAGAATTGAAGTTAAGAAAGATGAAAATAAGACATTCATTTATATCAAAACTCAGCAGATACGAATCAGCAAGAGAAATAGAATTGGAGTAAAGAATAAAAGTAAGCGTTCATTTATTATTAATAATTAGTAGGTATAATAAATGAATCAATTGCGATTGTTAATAGGTAAGAATGATCCAGACAGAACATTTTAGCTTAACTATTGTTAATGAATTAAGTTTATGAAGGATATGGCCAACCACAATCACAAAATAACATTTCAGCAATCTCTTCTTCATCATGACTTTTAATACTTTTTTTGTCTTATTTGTTATTTGGGCCAGATCTATTTGTTTTTCAGTTCTTTAAGCATATATATAAAACATAGAATTTATTTTTATTATCAAAAATTGGTAGATATGAACTATCTAAACAGAATGAAAATAGAGTTAAGAAGGATGAAATAAGGTATTCATTATAGTAAAATAAGCAGGTATAAATAATCAAGACGTAATAGATTTGGAGTTAAAGATAACAAGTAAGATATTCACTTGCTATCAGTAATTAGCAGGTATCTGATCAAAATTATAAGCAGGTGAAAATGATTTAGACAGAATATTTTAGCTTGGCTACTATACGAATGAACCAAATTTATGAAGAATATAAATTGGCATCTATCAAAAATTGGCAGGTATGAATGATCTAAACGATCTAAATGAAATGTTAATTGGAGTTAAGAGAGATAAAAATAAGATATTCATTTATATCAAAACTCATTAGGTACAAATAATCAAAACAGAATAGAATTGGAGTTGAGAAGGATAAAAGTAAATATTCATTATTATTAGTAGATATGAATGAATAAACCAGTCAGAATTGTTAACAGGTAAGAATGATCCAGGTGAATATTTTGGCTTTACTATTGTTATAAATAAAATTGAATTATGAAGGATATAAATATAGTATTTATTTTTATTATCAAATTTTGTAGATATGAACTATCTGAACGGAATGAAGATGGAGCTAGAAAGGATGAAAATAAGGCATTCATTATAACAAAAATAAGCAGATACGAATAATCATAACAGTATGAATTTGGAGTCAAGTATAAAAAGTAAGGCATTCATTTATTATCAATAATTAGCAGATATGAATGAATAATCGGTTGGAATTATAATCAGGTGAGAATGATCTAAATTGTATAAACAAAATATGAATTGGAGTAAATGAAATATACATTTATATCAAATTCAGCAAGTATGAATAATCAAGACGAGTTAGAATAAAAGGTGTTTATTTATTATTAATAATTAGCAGATATAAATAAATGATCCGGTAATAATGGATTTATGAAAAATATAAATATGGTACTTATATTTATTATCAAAAAATTGGCAGATATGAACTATCTGTATAGAATAAAAGTGGAGTTAAAAAAGATAAAAATAAGACATTCATTTTAACAAAAATCAACAAGTACGAATGACCAAGATGGAATGGATTTGGAGTTAAGAATAAAAAATAGGCATTTATTTATTATCAATAATTAGTAGGTATGAATGAATTTGGTCAGAATTATGAACAGATGAGGATAATCTAGACAAAACATTTTGACTTGGCTTTTGTTCGAATAGAATTAGATTTATGAAGGGTAAATATAGTATATTCTTACTACTAAAATTTGGTAAACTGAGAGTCCTACGATTGTTAGTAAAGCTTAACTCATACTAATATTATCTCATTTACTTAGCTTTACTCTAAGCTTAATGGCTACTATCGAGGCTTTTGGGGTAGCACTCTCTCTAGAGCTACCTATTGGCAATGTCTTCCTTTTATCTGTACTTACTCAATTAGTATCAGTACACTTACTGCTCACTGTAAACTGTTACTGGGCTGGTTTATCCTTGTAAACAATATGAATTGGAATTAAAAAGGATGAATAGAAGAATAAATTGAAGGATTTATTTATATCAAAAATCAGCAATACGAATGGTCAAGATAGAATGAAATTAGAGTTAAATGATCTGGTTGGAATTATTAACAGGTAAGAGTGATCTGAGTAGAGTATTTTGGTTTAGCTATCGTTATGAATTTATAAAGGATATAAATATGGCATTTATCTTTTATTATCAAAAATTAACAAGTGCGAATGCTCTAAACAGAACAGAATTGAAGTTAAAAAGGATAAAAATAAGGCATTCATTATAACAAAATTAGCGGGTACGATTAGAGATAAAAATATGTATTTATTTATTTTCTGTAATAGATATTTGCAGAAATAAAATTTTTATTATTATTTATATAGTATTATTGCATAATTGACTTTAGTCAAGTTGTATGATTTATTGTATAATTTTGAATATATAGTTTAGTTAGACGTTTAAAAAAAACAACTTTGATGAAGTGATTTTGAATTATTTGAAAATTATATTTATTAAAATTAACATTAAATTTTGATTTATTTACTTATTTATTTATTTAAAATCTTTATTTTTAAATGCAAAAAAAATACATTAAAAACAATTTTTAACCAAAATAAATTTGTTCTATAAAAAAATGCATTGTAATATATCCTGCCGTAGATATTTGATTTTTAGCATCTTTAATTATATATTGTTTCTATTCTATACGTAGCTCAATTTGTTTTTGTTTTTTTACATTTATCCTTTTTATTTCATTAATAGTACTATCTGATGAAATAAGGATAACATTTGTTTGTTGTCCATATAAGTAACTTCGTATACTCCAATTTGTTCTTTCTAGTATTTGACCAACAAGTTCTATCGCATTCTCTCTCTTAAATATACACTAATACCACTTTTGACTTAGAGAATATCTTGTAAGATAGTTACCAAAAATTCTAACAAATTAACTTTCCAAATATAAAAATTTTACAGATTGTAATCCTATATTCTTTATATTATTTTTTAATTGTTTTTGAATATTATAGATTAATATATTTTTGAATTCATCTAAAGCTTTTTGTGGTAGTTGAGTTATATGTTTTGGTAGTATATTATAATTATAGTGAATGATTGTTTCATGATGGCTTAATCCTTGTTGATTTTTATATGGTTTGTTAGAACAAAGATAACAATGAAAACAGTTATTAACTGATTTATCCTCAGAATTTTTGTTGTTAATTTTAGAAGTATGAATATCTTTTTGATGCTTGTGATAGCTTTGTTGATTCTTAAATGCTTTTCGTGAGCATAAAGGACAATATACAAGATCGATGCTTATTTAAATCTAAAAAAAATAAGTTTTTTGTATTTTTTTTATAATATAAATAAATATATATATAATAAATACCTTTTATATCTATTT